AAGATTTCTGTCTTCTGGGTTGTTGCGCTGTGTAGTATGGTAGATGTTTCCCAACGTTTCGGAGGTCATACTGCCTCAAATCTTACATGTTAATCCTTTCTGATAAAATACCAAAGTTTTGTAACACTCTGTTTAAAATTTGGTTTCAATGGTTTGCGACATTAATAACGAAGTCCGGAAAACACCCTAACATTATGTTTGCAACTGTTGACATACAATAGAAATTTCATACAGAATTTGTAAGTTTGTTTATAACTTATATCCATATAACAGTTTATGCCTACATAAATGATGAACATAATAAAACATTTCAGGATCTCATGCAGTGCATTAGTAGTCCACTGGTCCTAATGTTGTTCCTAACTTACAAATTTTCACAGCTAAAATGTTGGTATTATAGGCAGTAGGAAAGCGGATACCACACAGCTGCCCTTCTAATGGCATAATGTTTGTAGCGAGTTTCAGAAAAATCTGCTAACTGGTTTACAAGTTATTACGGAGAGAAAGATAAATAAACAGACGCATAAGCTTAGTTTTCCTTGTAAAATAAAGAAAATAGTATTGACTTCTTTCTTTTGGACTTTATCCAACATCTGGGTCTTTCAAACAGCTTTAATAAATGTTAAAACCTTTAAAAATCATGGATGGATTTTCTTTTGTCTTGTGTTAAAAGGGGAGAGATAAATAATCTGTTAAATCCGGTAGACCGTGGTATTTTCAATCTTGTGTCCAGATATCAGGAATAGCTCGGTCTATTCCATCTCTCAACAACAGCGACATTTTTGCACAATTTGTAACAGTGACATATCAAAAATAAGGAATAAAATTCTGAAAAATCTGTTCGACTTAAGTTGTTTCAAATATGTTGACATGTACCATTCGTAAGAAAAAAATAGAAGTGTCCCACTATACGCCATGTAGGCACTTGGGGGGGAGAGGAGGTATAGCTCGTACTCATTCTTTACTTCGGCACTAGATGGGAGTGAGTGGTCAGCATCATGCCCCGGACGTGCTTTACTCCAGGGACAGGAGCCTCCGGTAACCATTGGATAGGAGGCTCGGTGGGCCCCAGAGCCGGTCTGGACGCAGAGGGTAGTAATGATACTAAACAACAGAATATTATATTTTTCAGACACTGCTACCATTAGGTCTACAGACCTCCTCGGACAAATATTGAGGAGGAAGGCATATGATGACTTTTCTGCTTACAGTCGCAACAAGCTCAGAAACCACAAGCCCTCAGCCACACTCCAGGCCTGCAAGTCAAACCACAGAGTCATGTTTGGTGGAGTTGCGGCCCACTGGATCACGCTCTACCACACCACGGAGAAGCCTGAACGAGAGTAGTAATGAGACCCTCCGGCAGTACCCTGCTGGTGCCAGTCAGGAGCTGCCGGGCTCTGCTACCCGAGCCATCACACCCAATACAAGCCCAAACCCCATGCGCCGATTCTCCAGGACAGGAATCTACCCCGTGCTGGGAGCAGGCCTTGCGATACGAGAAGCATTTGGTGAGTATCTGTAATAACCATGACTGAACCTTTCAAAAGGATGGCGCAAGGAAGATTTCAAAATATGAACAGCATGATTATGCAATAAATTTATGCCAAAACTATTGGACAACTGAATCAGCAATGGATACCAGAAAGTGAAGTGGATGCATGAAGTAAAGTAAAGCCGTCCCGTTACACGCCATGTAGGCAACTTGGGTGGAGAGGATGTATAGTACTTATTCTTTCTTGACCTGCCACGGTGGTCTAGCGGTTAGAACGCTGGCCTTGTAATCCTGGGGGTCTCGGGTTCGATTCCCGGCGGTGCCCGAATTTATAACTTGTGTTGGGCAAGGCCGTGGTCTAGGCAACACGGAGTTTTCCTCCGTGGCATCCCAACAATTACCCCATTCACACACAGAAGAAGGCAATGGCAAAACACACAGACAAAGCAAAAGTAAAGCTGTCCTGCTACATGCCATGTAGGTTGTTTGGGGGGAAGTGGAGGTACAGGTTCTACTCATTCTTGACCATGGCACTAGATGGGGGGGGGGGGGGTCAGCATCACGCCCCGGCCGTGCTTACCCCCTGGAAAGGATCCCGGTACCCATTGGATAGGACGCCGGGTAGGCCCCAGAGCCTGTCCGGACGCAGAGGAGAAATCCTCTGCCCCTCTCGGGGATCGAACCCCGGCCGTCCGTAGCTAGTCACTATACCGACTGAGCTATCCAGGCTCCATGAAGTGGATATGCATGATTTATAGATGATTAACCTATTTCAATTAATTTTACTTCCTTTTTAAATAAGATAAGAAATTAATACTTATTCCATGTTATTTCTTCTAACACACAACTATGTTAAATTTGCACGCCACACCCGTGGGATTATATATAAAATAGTTCACACGACCACTGATAGAGGTTAGGAGAAATAAATCTAAAATCTGAGATATTATTTTTTAATATAAATTAGAAATGTTCTATTTCTTTTTCGTATTGAATATTCTATATTTCAAATCAGCTTACAGTCTCAATAATACGCGCCCATACAGGACTTGATTCCATTTCATCCGTTACCTAACATCCTCCTTACGTAAATGCAGTCAACCGTTAAAGTTCACTTTATATTATATTTAAAAAGGAAACTAGCTGCTGCTACTACGACCAATTACTAGAAACGCATTTAGGAAGAAAAACATTGTTTTTTTACTGGAACGGTTTGAAAATATTACACAACTTTTGGCATCACATAACCTTGGAGTCTTGAGGTCACAGCGAAGCCAATTCCGTTGAAGCAACTCGAAATTCAGAAAAATGTTTAGAAGTGGTGAAACTGTTATACAAATACGTCCAAGTGGTTCGCATTTAAAATTAAAATTTATAATAACAAACCTGTTTTTAAGTAATGTCATTTATGAACCAAATGCAGTGATTTATAAACTTTATGTAATGGCGCCTATCAAAGACTTTTCTTCATTTTGTGTGTGCATGTAAGAAAACGTTGATCAGTTATTCATTTTCAAAATCAAAACATTTTAGGTTAGTGTTTCTTTTTCAAGGTTTTTTCATTAACATTTTCGACTCATTTTGTTCATTCTTACGCAACATCGCAATGTAATGTTGGCTGGACTGTCCTGCCGTGATAAAATACAAATATTATACCCGTTTATTTTCCAGAATACAAATGGCTTACTTGGAGACGGCCACAATTACGTAAAACTGTGTAAAAAACACATTTTTTATCTGCATGTTTAATCCTATGTAGTCAATCTCCCATTCGAAGTCTCGTGGCACACCGGTTGAGAACCACTGATTTAAGCAATGAGATACAGAACGAGCTAACTGAGTTCAAGGCAAATAAAGTTAAGAAGAGAAACAAAAATAATCGAACACGCTAAATACTTTGTCATATTGTTAGACTGCGCTAGACCTTCGTCGTGTTGAGTAGATGATTATCATTCTGAGGTACGCTGACATGCAGAAAGAATTGATTGAAACACATTTTGCATTGTCGTTAAAGAAACCACTTACCTCTGAGTTTATAAATACCACCTTGAAAGAATTACAGCATCCGGATTTCAATTTCAACAACTGTTGCAGTGAATTCAGGTATGAAAAAACAAATATTAGCCCTCAACGCTCGAATTATTACGTCGCCAGATCGTCAATACGAAAAGTATAACCTAGTATAACGTACTGTCATTACTGCTGAAAGTATATTTTCAAAGTCCAAATGACTACCATAACTCAGGAAGGCTTTTTTCGACCGAGAATAACGTTGCTTTGGAAATAGAATATTAAGAAATTTCGGGTGAATTCAGTCCTCGGAAAATCAGATAAATATACCGAGTGAAGAGTGATAATGTTCTTAATATTTGCTATTAGTAGCTTGTCTGACTTCAGTAGTCACATCCTGCATAATGGGCGAGTATCAATTCATTTCGTTGATATCTGTTTACAAACCAAAATCATACGTTAATAAAATAAATATGTTATGCAGTTTTCTATTTAAAACAGTCATTCAAAATTTACCAATCAATGAACTCAAAACACAGTCCAATGCAGGGCTTTTGTGATCATGATGATGAACCCTGTGTTCTATGACAACTGAACAACTCACTACAAAAAAGGCCTTGCACTATGAAGTTAGTAAGTCAAGAGAAGTTTTAATAATCACAATATAATGTTGAGTTCTATTATGACTTTCGTCCAAAGAAAATTAACAAAATCATTAAAAAAAACTTGTCAGCATAGCCAGTCCCAGCCAAGATTAAAAAAAACTCTAATCATAACGACAGAACACCGAACAATAATTAAATGGCATGAATGACAACTGTGCAGTACATTCCTCCAAGTTCTTCAGCTCATCAAGAAAAGTTAATTACCACAATCTAACTTAATCAGTTCAATACAGTTCACAACTCATCTCTTACACGTCCATTTTAATACAGTATTCTGATCTACGTCAAAGTTAAAAGTGTGGTTTCTTCCGTTGGTTTCCCAATCAAAATTTTGTACACAATTCCTAACTCAATGAAAAGAGGCACATATATGGATTATAAATAGGTCTAATCTTTATAACAAATATTTATTATAACCCTGTAAAAAAATCAGTTCGAAATCTATACACAAAATTGTCATTAACCTAGTTCCGATGAGAAAAACTCACCTTCTGAGGACTATCGTAATATTCAGCTCTCTCATGCATGGAATAAGTTTAATGTCATCACATGCTCTGAGTTCTGTTAGATAACTTATGCAAACAGCTCATTCTCTAGATAATGAACACTGACCGGACATTGATAAAGGAGATAATGCTACAGCAGGGGTTAGAAAATAGGAGCTCAATTGCTAGTGACTAGTGGCACAAACAAGTGGGTTTCCTCATCAATTATTTCATAACAACGTATCAACTGCAAAAAATTATTTAGTATCTAGATGGATGAATTATGTACAGCAAACTAGAAAAGGTTCAGGTGGCAGCACACACAAACCAAGGAACTAAAATGGCAACAAACTTCACAGCGCGGAAGTACTGGGCAAAACTCTCGACTCCAAAAGATGTTCCCGAGAGATTTTTCATTGTCTGCCTCTGTCCCTCCAGGCAGTGCAGTGACTACCTTAAAATATGTCAATATCTGAAGAAGAAGAATAAAAAAACAGTGGACTCACTTCAACTCTGAAAATGGAGACAGTATGTTCCTAAAAATTACTGGTAGTTGCCTATAAGACCACACAGTGTCATAACCCAGAAGAAAACAATCCACATTTTCACTTCTGTTTGAACCTCAAATCTGAAATAATACGACATTTGTAAATTAAAATTAATTCTGTGCTGTAGCATCCTGGTATGTTCCGAGTTTTCTTAAGTGATTTTAAACACTCTCACTTTTTCATGAGTCTTATACACTACTGTGGAATACCCATTTTTTTTATTTTTTGACTAAATGTTTCAAATGAATTCAGTCATCATATTTTACAACTTATGTAAAATATCTGGATCTGACGATGCTGAATTCAATTCAAACATAGTCAAAAAAAATTGATATGAAAAAGTGATGATGCTTAAAAAATGCAAGAAAATCCAAATTAATGTAAAGAATTATGTTCTTTTGTAGTCTGTTCAATAATGTATGATCTGAAGCTTTCACGGCGACTAAGTATAATGAATTCTTCTCGAGCTACCAGCCATGTAGGGTGGTTTAATGCAGTCCTCGTCCTCAGGGTACTACAGTACCCTGAGGACAAGTATGAAGACGGTCCTTAAAAAGTTGATGTTTTCGTCGTTAAACCACCTTCCACGGCTGGTAGCCCGAGAAAAATTAATTACACTGTTTAATAATGTTTTGCCAAATGCACATGTCAAAAATCTTTCATTGGGAGAATGACTGTTAATGATGAACTGTAAACAGCGTGGCAGGAGCAGTTACAGCACAAACTGAAGTATCATTGCAGGGTATACCTGGAGGGACAAAATAAATGATAACCATCCCAGGAAAGATAATTTCAGAGCCAAGACTAAACACGGAATTCCCTAATACGAAGCAGCAGTGTTAACCACAATAGTGATGTTCAATGCATAGGTGAGCTTTTTGTTCACTCCTGCATCATGTTGACGTACTTATAAAGTGATTGGATGACAGATTCATGTCTGTGATTTAACATTAGTGACAACAGAGAATGGGAGTGATGACTAGAGCTTTAAATTCTGGAGAAAACAAAACTCAATTTTCCATCAGTAGTATACCGTAATATTCTTTACACAAATGTTATCCTTTATCAATATTTTTATGCACATATTAAATTCAATAATATTTAGTCTGTTTTATTAACTTCATTTCATTCTCTACCCAATACAGTTATTTTTCTTAAAGTAATAAATTTTAGTATTTCTCAAGTCACTGGAAGGTTGTAATGTGTACATGGCAATACAAAAACAAGCAATTTTTTTTGTGTGTGTGTCAGGTCCACGAATAACAATGCTAGACACCAATTATGAAAGAGCTCCAGAGTCTGATACTCCGTCTCCAGATGGAGAACAGTACAATGTCAGAAATGTCAGCACAGTCAAGGAGATTCCTACATTTGAAGATTCGATGGGTGGGCTAGCAGGGTCATTCTCCGCTGAGCAACATGGTGCTGTGAGTATCTACAAAATTAAGTAACATTTTTAAAGTCTGGAGGGAGAGAGACCAAAGAGACAATTAACCATCATCTCAAAATGGACAGATTTAAATACATCATTTGGCAACGTTGTTTCAACTGCAAAAGATTACATAATGCGAAATGAGATGAGATATGACTGTAAATGATGAATTGGTAAGGGTTTGGAAGGAGATAGCCATAACCTATTTTAATATAGGCCTGTCAGACCACTATTTTCCTGGAGAAAAACACGAGAAACCCAACATAATTGCTAGTATTGCAACAGAGATTCAAAACAGGTATCTTCCCGAAACAAACACAGAGTGTAACCACTACACACCTAACTGGTCTCTGCGTTGGACTGAGCTTTATTCCACACTCATTCAGTGAAGTTTCATATTTAACACAGCATGAATTAAATACATTACAGGAATAAATAACAACTGATTCTGGGTTCTCCGAATGCTTAACACATATTCAACTCTTTAAACAAATTCCTATTACCACGGAAACTAAATATCCATCTTAACCACGCAATCACCACAGATGCCTGTTACCTTGGTCAGTTCTTCTCTTGAAGACCCATGCCCTGAAATGTTTTTTAACTTGCCCATTTATTTATTCTTGGTTTGTTTAATGATCTTTCAAGTGCTTAAATTATATAATCTTGAATGACTGGATTATATAGTGAATATTAAAGCAGAAAAGATGTGAAAGGAATTAGTAATAACCTAATTTGAGGTATTCTTCTAGTATTTACCTGGACAGACTGAGAAAAACTGCAATAAACCTGTCAGGATAGCCAATCCCCAGAAACAGATTTGAACACAGGAGTGAAAACCACTCAACTGCAATGTCTGGTTTATGCATTTTAGGTACTGTACTGTTAAATTCAATTCAGTTTTAGGTTATGTTAGAGGGGGCAGAGGCAAAATTTGAATTGAATAATTTAATTCCCAGATACAGCGACTTTCTTGCACAGTTACAATATATTCAACTCATGAAAAATGTCCCTTTTCTTATGAAACTCTAAATGTATGAATGACATTGGACAATACAATGAAGTTCATATCCTCATAGACTATAAAACCTAAGATAATTTTTACAGTATCCTCCCATCCATTACACTTCAGTCTCTCAATTAGTTTTCTTTGGCTTACCAACATCTTCTATGCATCTGTCCCCCCAGCACCACCAGCCACATGCAGTTCTTCATCAATTTAATTTTGTAGGTTAGATGCTTGTAAGGAACAGATACAGAAGTAAATAGAGAAAACTACGTACATGTTCATGTTTCATTGGCAGACTACAGGACAAAATCAGTACATTATGAAGGTCACTACTAAATTCTTTGAAAATGTGGCAGAGCACAAATATCTGGAATGGACAGCATCAAATCAAAATTGCACTCACAAGAAAATTAACAGAACACTAAATTCAAGGAATGCTTGCTTCCATGCAGTTCAGAATCTTCTGTCTTTCCATCTGCTATCTAAAAATGCAATCATTAAAATACACAAAATTGTAATTTTACCTGTTGTTATGTATGAGTGTAAAATTTGGCATCTCACGTTAAGGAAAGAACACAGATAAGGGTTTTTGAGAACAGGGTTCTTAGGAGAATATTTGGACATAAGCAGGATTATGTGACAAGAGGCTGGATAAAACTGTAAATGAGTTCCATAATTTGTACTCTTCACCAAATATTACTAGAACGACCAAATCAAGGAATATGACAAAGGTTGGGACATGTAGTATGCATGGGGGGAAATAAGAAATGGGTATAACATTTTGGTTTGAAAGCCTGAAGGGAAGATACCACTCACCAGAACTAGACATAGATGGAAGGATAATATTAAAATAATCTTAGGAAACAGAAAATTTGTTTATTTACTAAACAATTACAGGCAAGGTGACTGTGAAGCTGAGATTATACCTGATAAATTTAATACAGCTGAAATCTGTAGCAGCAAAAATTATGCACAGAAATAAATCACTAAAGAATATAATAATTATTAATCTTGTTAGCCATATATTCTTCCTAAAACTTCTTGTTTACCAGTGTTTAGCCAAAAGCAAGTTTGTGTGTGTGTATAAACACTCAGAGTGATGGGTATGATGGGTAGATAAATGTAAGTTCAATGCAAAGAAGCCAACGTAGCCTATTTGAAGACATTCTGACATCTCATTGAAATGATGGAGGAAATACACAAAAACCCTGTCGGAACAGCAAGTTTCTTGGCAGATACTGAAGCAGAAATAGCAATAGTATCCCCCCCCCCACCTCTTCTTAATTTTGTGCTTCTTACTTCAACTATCCTATTAACATATGGCATTTATATGTCATGCATGAGAATCTTCACTTTGCATTGCAGTTAAGTTTAAAAATGCTGAATAAAGTGCAGTGGAATATTATGAACAGATATACTCCATTAGCACTGAAAAGCCTGTCTTGATTTTGCAAGTCTGTTTAAGTCAGTTATTAAGTAAACATGGTCAACAAATATTTTCTAGTTATTTCACCACCTGCTATGCACCATTTTATGACACAAATAAGTTTGTGCAACCTGAAAACCGACGCAACACAAACTTCTAACACACAAATCATAACTCATATCTTCTCCTGTGAAAAATATGCATTAATCATTCGATTTCATTATTAATGTTTGGTCAATTAACATTAAATAGTTCATTGGCACGCATGGAACTGAACTAAATGAACGAATAGTGATAATTTAACATAAAAGAATAAATTCATACTTCCTGATATATTAAATACTACTGGTTTTGCCTCAAAAGCTATGACTGGATAAAATTGGCCTCTGGGTTTTATAAATGTCAGCCAGTATTGATCAATTCTGACAATACAATATGCAGACAAAAGAGGACTGACAAAGGCCTGCCTTCAGTAAGGTAACTATTGATTTACAACGCTTCCTACACACATCACAAACACATTCACTCCTTGACCTACACCCACTTGCTGTTCTACCTTACAAAAGTTATTTGTCATTCTGGCTAGAGCATGCCACTAAACATACAGAACCTCAATTGAAATTAATACTGTATCAGCACACAAGAACACAATGATAAAAATGCCAGATCCATAAAATGCAATCACAAAGTTTTCAACAAATTATGCCATAAATGACACCCTATCTTCTTTTTTCTATTTGAGCCATCACTGATTAGACAATCTGGCATAGTCTGATTCAGAACTGACTTCTGAAACAACTGATCCCTTCTGGAAGCATTTCAAAACAACTACCTGGACAATTAATTGCATGGTCTCTGCCTAAATACGGTAACAGAACAAAGAAAAAAGCAAACATTTCCATGCCCCAATGCAAAATTTGAATTTGCATCCTCAGCATTCAAGCAGTGAAAGACAAAACATACACTGATAAATTATAATAAATAATATTTTCTCTATGCATTTTTGTTGAAATCTGGTTTAACTTTTACGCTAAAATGCATTTACTTTTGAGTGACGGTATGTTGTAATTACAGAAGCTGGTACTGGTTCAGATGTAAAACACTAAGGGTGAAAATTATAAATCTGTACCTGAATGACCGATCAAATTATTCGTGGATATTTAATAACATTTTAAGACAGTTCAGATTATGTAGCATCAAATGATAGGATGATTAATGGATAATGAATTGGAGATGATATGGAAGAAGCACTACCTACTTTAACAATCAACGGTTCTCAATTTTGCCTACACAGTGTTTCATATGAATCTCAGAATAAAAAGTAATTATTTCCTTAACCACCTGATCTTTCTCATGGAAAAATGTTGTTTTTTTTTGAGGTGGGGATAAAATTTTCTTCTTCTTTTTCCGGTTTAACAATATTTCCACATTTTCCGGTACCCTTTTACGGGTCCCCAACTTTTCAGTTGGCTTGATCTATGAACATTCGGTAGGACTCCTTGGACGAGGGATCGGCCCATCGCAAGGCCTCTACCCGTACACAGGACAGCACAACACAGAAAAACATTCATGGCTTGAGTGGGATTCGAACCCACAGTCCCAGTGACCAAGCGGCACAAGGCCCATGCCTCATACCGCGCGGCCACTGCGGACCCCGGGATAAAATTTTTAAATATTATTTAGGCAATCTCCAAAGGGTCGATAAAAAACTGGTTCAACATTATCTCACTGGCATATGAATTAGTAACAGCATCCAAATTACAAGCCTACATCTCTTGCATTTATTTCCTTTCTCTTCAACAAAAATTACTGAAGACTGTAGAATAATGGTTACTTCAACAGAAAGGAGACTTCTGAAAATTCTGATTACAAGCATTCCTGTTCCAAAGAAAAATTCTTAGTCACTAGCTCTAATATTACTAGAGTTATCTGTTAAGAGTGTACCTAACTTTCAAGTCCAGATATTCTGCTATCAAAGTACTGCTATCACATTCCACGCTTCCTGCTAAAGCACTGGTGATACTATATCAAAAGGAAACAAAACTCAGTGAGGAACATGGATTGCTGGAGTACAAAAGTTCAGCCAACTGTAGGCACTGCAACTAAACTTCAAGACACATCAAGTTACAGCAACCCTTCTCACAAGGACTGTGGAGAGATCTCTAAGAAAGACGTAAAAACATTTGTTCAGTTTTTAGAATGGTTTTCTGAAGGAAAAAGAGGAAAACAACATTTTAGGGTGATACGGATTCCAAAAATAGAGCAAGTTCAGCAGTTGAAACCATTGCTGAATTGTTTGAGATTATTATATTTTATTTTTTATTCTTCATGAAAGAAAGATGTTTTGATGGAAGGGACCTATATTCACGCAAACATCATATATAAATTGTGAACCTTTATAATAAATGTCCCTTTTTTAAATAAGTTTTCAGAACATCTAAAAAGATCTTAGAAGGGAGAAGAATGCTGTATGTTCATGCATTCCCATACAATGTCTGAACAAAGTGGAAAATTTTGATTCAGATTGGAATGAAGGTGACTGTCATACACTGTATTTTAAATTCTCACCTTCTACGATTCCACCACCATTTTAAAATTTTGAAAAATACTCACATCATTTTGTGCAAGAACTTGAATGTCTGCATAATACTGATTTTCAATGGCAAACCTTCGTTACACATTTCACGAAAACAGGCAAACTAGTTAAAAATACTGCTCCAAACACAGATGTGATACAATAAGCCTCTCTTTCCTTGTGTTACAAGTGATTATTTATAAAAATGTATCAATTCAGTTCTTGTCTGTAGGTTTTTGCAGTTGCAGTTCAATGTATAACTTTGGCTTTTGGAGGAAAGAGCCGTGTCCTGCGTTCAATGCTGCTGCTGCTACCCAAAAGCCAGCTGCAAAAAACCTACAGACAAGAATTAAATGCCTCTAAAGGGAAGAATTGTATTTTAAAACATCTGACGCAGCTCTCACCTGAAAGCCAACGTTACAGATCAATCCAGTTCTTTGTTTCTTGATTTAACAGTGCTCTGTCAATTGCATATTACAGTGCACCGATGAACAGGGTATGTCTGCAGGATCTAAGGAAAACCAATGACGTAAGTCACACTGTCTCGTTTCTGAGCCAAGATAAAATTCCAGGACTTCCTCGATCAAAAGCAGGAGTGCCCACTTCACAGCAATGACCAGTCACATAAACATGAATACAAAGGACAAAAGACACTTGCAGCAAAGTCAAAATACTACATGAAATTTGAGGTTTTAAAACTTGTAAGAATTTAGATTGTGATCTTCTGGGTAAGACAGAATATAGTCTTCATTTCTACCCTAAATATGGAGGCATCAGCTTCCTCTCACACTCTGGTAACTACCTATATGACCATATGGTATTGCACCCTAGAAGATCACAATCTAATTCAAAATACAACAAACAGAAAACTGTAACCATCACAATTATGATGATGTTCTGTCCCTCCAGCTTCCAGACACAGAAACCCTATTATTCAGGGATGGAAAACGGCGCATTGACATGGTGCTGGTGTATGAAGAAGAGGACTATGGTGTAATGACATTAGCAGAGGTCACTAGGAGGGAGATGCGGAGGGTGTTTCAGGAGAATCTTGTAAAGGAAGGATTAGAACTGGAACTTGAGGAAAAGCATGTGAGTGAGTGACACGTAAGCTGAGATACCAACCTCTAAAAAAAGGAATGACCAATTAATTTACTAATGGGCTGAACCTTTATCTGCCATATAAGATAATGTTTCCTGTGGCGTAAATGTTGTACATTAAAGGTTAAAGTTGACTCAACTACAACTGCACTGTTTACTTGTAATTGGCAACACACTAATCAGAAATATTTATCTTTGGCTTCTGGGGATAAGCTGCATTGAATTTTGAAGGTTTCTGAACGTTTCAATAAACAATGCATTTGCCACCTTCAGCAATGTTTGCCAAAACTACGTAAAACTTTCAACATTCAATGCAGCTTATCCTGTTTCAATAAACAATGCAGTTGCCACCTTCAGCGATGTTTGCCAAAACAATGTATAACTTTCAACATTCAATGCAGCTTATCCCCAAAAGCCAAAATCAATGTGAAGAGTAGGTCAGCATTAAAGTAGGAGAATCTACACATTTCACATCCTATCCCTTGCATTAAACATGAGGGAAAGCATTAATGCATGAATTGCTGAATGCATTGGACATTTCCAACACTTAATATAACTGTTTTTTTTCTGATTTAAATGTAATTTATTTTTTCACAAATATAATATGTGTCAGGAATGGGTTGCGTGACTTTTTGTTCACTGTTCTTCATTATGTGTGAAAGATCAGACTGTGGGAGCTCACGGCAGCAAACCAATCTAATTTAAGGTGTGGAAGTATTTTCTCTAACCCCAAACATTTCTCTTCCTAGATGGCATTTGACCAAGAAAAGTTTTTTCTGAAAGTGCATGTTCCTTGGAAAGCCCTGACACGGTATGCTGAGGTCATGAACATGAAGATGCCAATCAAGGTAACAAAAATCTCAGACTACAGACATTATATGTGAACGTCCGTATGAATATACATCGTAATCCTACTGAGCTCTCAAAGAATCATAAGATATGATGACACACTGCTGCAGTATAACAAGACAGAATTACTTCACGCTTCAAAGTACCTTCTTTACAATTTTATATTCCCTGCTGACCGTAATGTTATTTTATTTCTAACACAAACTAAAAGCTAAACGAGTTGATCAGCACTGCATATACTGATAAGAGGGCTGTCTGGTTGCAAGTGGTGACTAGAATTTCGGCTAGCAGCTGATTTCCCACAGGACATTTGAGAGTCGGCTTTTCGGGCTGTGGGTGCAATTTTGTAAATGAGGTTTATTTGCTACTGCATAATACTGCCTGGAATAGTAGCATTTGAATTGTTTATCTTTCAACCAAACTAGCCAACGATTCCCAATTTTCTGGGTGCCTTGCACCTCTATAAATTTATCTTTTAGGAAACCAAAATATTTTTCTAGCACATTTTCAAAACATTTTTGAGCCCTGCTGGTTATTACATAATATATAGTGTATTATTTGTGAAGCTAACTGACAGTAAACATATTACACTGTCAAGAGGAATACACTGTTTTTTTCCTTCTCAAAATTAATAGCATACTGAAATATGCTTCAACTAAGAATTATAGACTTTAATGAAATATAAATTTTACGTAATGAAACCACTTACTTTATGAATAAACATTTTTTAAAAGGACAGTAGGGATTATAGCACTATCAACCCTCCCAAAAACTCTCACAACTCCTAGTGTATATCTCTCATACCAAATTTAATCAGAATCTGTCTTGACTGACTGATGGATAGGCTGTCCTCTCCACTGTGTGTTAATTTTATAAACAGACTGCAAAGAACAAAGAAAGTAGTTGTACTCTTAATACAAAGCAGGAACTTGATAACTGATATAAATAGCATTTGCAGATTCAACACTGAGCCAAGAACAAGACTTTCAGTTGTTTCATTTTCTTAAAGGAAAATTAATTTGCAACCTGATGCTCTTCATCCATTAGAAACAATGAAGTAATACCTCAAAATGGGTGATTTACCATGAAGCGACATAAGATATGTGGACGACTAAAATAAAAACGTTTCTTATGGCTAATATCAAGCCATTTTAACTGAAAACTTGGGTATGAGATGTCTCAGCCAAGTTAATCCCATTAATACAGAAGCAGGCAGACAGGAAGAGGATATGTACTTACAATAATTTTTTTATGTTTTGCCAATTCTGTGATTACAAACAATATACATACTGCATTTCAAGTGAGATGCATGCCTTTTGTATTACTTTGTATAGTATAAGAAAGGGTGTTCCATTTAAAATGCAACCCTAACTGAAACAGCATTTGTAAGCTTTGGTGACATCAACGTAAAAAGACAAATGAGTTCTTTTCTTTAGATTTTTAGGTGTTCACACTGTAGTGTACACAGAGAACATCAACAACTTCAATTGCTGCGTAATAATGGGTTCAAACAATGGGATTCATGTCAGAACTACACTGCTGGGAAATAATAGGACCAAACAACTATCATTGTTGGAATTGACTGTTGCATAACAATGGGACCTCATATCAGATTAGAGAAAAATTGATCTATGGTTATTGTTGGACTGTTAAACAAAACTGATTTGGGATGCCATTAATCCAAGAATAGCCAAAGATGTAACAAACATTAGTGTAGGAATGACCTAGGATGTAACAATGAACTTGGATGAAGTGAATGAAGAACGCCTTTGGAATTTTGGTGTACTCCAAAGAGAATGACTCTCCAGTCTTGTAATTGTTAGGAAGAACTTCACAACAACTATGTAGCAGATGCAGAAAATGTCAACCACCACCGCAAAGACAAGCAAACACCCTTTTCACCATGTTTCATGAAACTTTGCAAAGCATTTCTGGGTATGCTGGCAAATTTGTTCAATACTGTATTTCATAAACAGTTTTTATGCAAAGTAATGTTTGAGAACAAACACACATTCTACCCACAAGTACACCATGTTTGCACCCACACAGGTTTTGCACAACTGGTGTAAGCAGTAGCTTAGCATCCAGGGTGACCTTGGCTCAAGAGTCACAAGGGATGCAGGGAGAGCATTACATAAGGGCGGACCTGGTTCTGAGTTTTTGTATCACAGTATGCGACTGGTTTTGGGTTGTGTTTTAAATGGTGCATCTTGTATAAGATGCATTTACCTCCACAAATTTTTAGAAATTGTACATCTAAAATGCCTTGCCACATAATCTTGTCTCTGAAGTGTATATGAAGTTATATTGTATTGTATGTGTGTTCAAGAGTTAATTTCCAGGGACTAACTGTTCTGTATATTATTTCCATGGGCAGTGTTTTGTCAGGACGAGTGACGGACCAAGAGCAGTATTCAAGGTCATGTATTGTCCCCATTATTTCAGAATTTACTGGTTCACCGGGTGATGCTTGCTCTCTGACAAAAACTTTTTTCAACATTTTCAGCTTTGTACATATGCGTGTGAGTGCTCATAATGACTGTTTCTTTCTTATTTGTTTTTTTCTTTCCACTACTACTACCATGCTAAAACAAGAGATTCATAAGCCTAGGTAAAGCCTGGGTAAGTGCAACGAAAATGTGCTCGCATGTGGCTTGCTTTGTATGTTATTCATGCAAAGGGAATTGAAAGGCTTCACAAATCCCAATAAACACAATGCCCTCCTCATGAAATACATTAACTAACTAACTAGATGGCTTACCGAACCCGAAGGTTCATCACCGAATTAACCAAAGCCCTCCACCGGACCCTGTCCTGGGCCAACAAAATCCAGTTTCCTTCAACTCCTATCTCCCATAGATCCCGCCTGAGATTATCCTCCCATCTACGTCTAGGTCTCCCCAGAGGTCTCTTCCCCTCAGGCTTCCCAAATAGTGGACCCAACCAAACAGATGGCTTACAGAACCCGAAGGTTCATCACCAAACTAACCAAAGCCCTCCACCGGTCCCTGTCCTGGGCCAACAAAATCCAGTCTCCTTCAACTCCTATCTCCCATAGATCCCGCCTGAGATTATCCTCCCATCTACGTCTAGGTCTCCCCAGCGGTCTCTTCCCCTCAGGCTTCCCAAATAGTGGACCCAACCAACCAGATGGCTTACTGAACCCGAAGGTTCATCACCGAATTAACCAAAGCCCCCCACCGGACCCTGTCCTGGGCCAACAAAATCCAGTTTCCTTCAACTCCTATCTCCCATAGATCCCGCCTGAGATTATCCTCCCATCTACGTCTAGGTCTCCCCAGCGGTCTCTTCCCTTCAGGTTTCCCAACCAGTACCCGGTGCACACCTCTTGTCTTAGTTAATTTAATTCTGAATGCATATAATTTCAGCATGCTTGCAGTAATAAATATTTAGTGCTACAGAGAGAAAGAAGGTAACGATCTTCTAATGTTTCTAACATGTGCCTACCTGTCAGGGGTAACAGAACCAGCAATATAGTAATTCCACATGCTCTCAACATAGGGTGACAAAGATAATGGCCGGCAGAGACCTAAAACTTAATGTAAAATCTGAACTGTGTTGGGGCCATGACAGCATGGTATTCACAGCATTTAAAGACTTTGTATTTGTCAGATGTGAGAGATGTACAAAAAATACAGAAATATTTGCATTGGATCCGGTTGATCTTGAACCCAATTACAGAGTCTGGCACTGTACTATTATAACATCAGATTCCTGTGAATATAAACTGAAAGGGCTGAAATTTAGAATTTCATATCACATTTATAGGCTTTCTTCAATTTTATATTTATATGTCCAACATAAGAAAGACAGAGATCTGAAATTAAAACTTCAAAATCAATAGAAAGCAGAGATACCATTCAGCAAATACTTGCCTGCATACTTGGCCTATTTTGTAGATTCACAATTTAAATTTTCCTTCACATTTAACTTATCTTGGCAATTCTGCAGTAATTTAAGGATGATTGGGCTGTTGAACTTGCAAACGCTATAGAAAACTTTCAACGTCTTTATATTCTATAGAAATTGTAATTACAAACCACCCAAAAGCATTTCAACATGTACAAAGAAGTGTGTGAGGTATAGAATGATCCTCAAGAGGGCATGATTAAAGGCTAAGTTGCATGTGAGTTAATACTGCACTGACCTTTCATAACACCTGAATCAATGTAATATCTCACTATATACCTGGGATGACAACAGTAATGCTTTTTTAAACACTTTAAGCTTGGCATGCAAATTTCACTACCTAAAATGTAATAAATTTGTAAAAGGGATAAATAGTGCATAAAATCAGTGTTTCCAAGCATTTTTCGCAATTTATGTTATTCAAATTTACTATATATATATATTACACATATAAAAAATATTAATTTTTTGTATGGAACTGTTTCACAAGCAAAATCATAGGTCAATGAATGGAGCAAAATGAAACCTGTATCAATTCTCCATATTGACAAGTTCCTTTTACACGAGTTAATTCTAAAAATGCCACCTTTCTTCTCTACAATGCCAAAATTTTCTGTGTCTCTGTAATTTGATCTAACAAGAGTTATCTTCGCCTTCATATACTTCTATCCCAATTATTCTGAAATCAGTCACCATTCATGTAAGATGTACTGTTCAATTGTAAAGCAATTACTCTCACGAGAATAAAACGGGAAAGTTCCAACAGAAATATTTTGTGATATATAACATCGTTATTAGTTTGTCCTGCAAGCACCTTAAGACCTCTAATACAACACAACTTCCCTTCTGTTCCTCATTCTCAGAAATCTATAATTTTTCCCCACTGATAAATCAATAAAAACTAATTCTACACCATGGTGCGAGTCATTTAACTAATGAATACCAACTGATGTGTCATAGATCAAAAGTAGGTTACAAAGTAATTTAGTTGAGCTTAAGTTTTGTCTATGAAACAAACTGTTTAATAAAATATATACAACAGTTCAGTAACGTTTACTTAAAATTTGCTGGGAATAAAGTGCTCAGACCTTATTCAAAAAACAGTATGATAGGCTCATGTTTATTTTAATTACTACTCAAACTGAATTCCATTTTAATAAAATACACTTCCACCAATTTACATTATTAGATTTTCAGTGATCGTGTATGACGGTGCAGCAGCAAAACCGGTAGTAAAAACTTTCCGGTTCTGTTTAACATCATTATATTCCAAAAATGAATATACTGTTTTTTTAAATTCATTTATCATAATTATTGGCCTATTCTAACTTAAGTTAGTGCTATCATATATCTTGCAGGGCTATTTTGCTGAAACTTCAGAAATCAACAACTCCCCTATCCTCCATGTCAGCTAATAATCCAACCAGAACATAACAGAATTTTTCAAAAGTGCATATATACTTCAACAAACTACCACAGAAATCCAATACAAGAATTCTTATTTAGTTCTCAGGGTCACCCTCAGTTGTTACAAATTTATTCTGCTTATGATATCATCCTAGCAAACTAAAGCATGACAAAGACAGATTACAGTTACAGCTTCTTTTCCCAGAATAATGCATTCATAATTCATACGCAAATGTGTGGTCGCACATAAGTCTACCATCATGTTCTTCACAACCCTATTTTGAACACATATGCATGCATGGTAAGTTTGGTGCCATACGTTCATATCGTGCATGTGCACACTAAAGTTCATGTTCAACTAACTTCTGCATGTCACACAAACCACTACAACAGTGCAGTCAAAGAATTATGTTTTGGACAAAAAGGTAATGAAATTAGTTTTGAAGAAAGTGATAAAAATGAACAGAATATGCATGGCGACAAAAACAAAGAATCTGTTCCTCACTAAGATAACAATATCATAAACATGCCATTTAAAAGACCATGTCTGCAAACTGTTAGTAAATGTAACATACCATTAATAAGGCACAGAATGGAACCAAAAATCATAAAGGAAAAACATGAAGATATCCGTCTTCTGGGTTATTGCGCTGTGTAGTCTGGTCGATGTTAACCAACGTTTCAGAGGTCATACTGCCTCCGTCATCAGGGCGATGAGTATGAAGATTTCTGTCTTCTGGGTTGTTGCGCTGGGTAGTCTGGTCGATGTTTACCAACGTTTCAGAGGTCATACTGCCTCCGTCATCAGGGCCCTGATAACGGAGGCAGTATGACCTCTGAAACGTTGGTCAACATCGTCCAGACAACACAGCGCAACAACCCAGAAGACAGAAATCTTCATACTCATCGCTGTGAGAACCTCAAGTCTTACAAGGAAAAACATGTTTGATGACATAACATAAGGGCACAAAGAACATTGAACATAAAGAAAGAAATGCTTCCTGAAATAAGACACAGTTCAGGAGCACCCCATATACACTTGTTTCAGAAACGTGACTTCATCTCCTCTCTTTTATTACTTAGATGAGAACATAAGAATAAAAGTATACACCTTGGTTTTAGCAATACCAAGACAGTGTACTTGTGCTTTGATCAGGCAAATATTCCTGCAGCATCAATGAGACCCAACACCACTGCACTTGATTTTCATCATATCTCTTTTATAAAAGATAATATAACATTAAACAAAACACTTGAAACTAAAATATTCTCTAAATATGGATTCATTAAAATTACTAATAGTTGTGCAGGGAAGGCTGCTAATTACAAAACTTAAATTTCAAGTGCATTCCATTGAAAACTGACAGAATTTACATTGTTCAGGAAGTGGAGGGAGGCCTGCAAAATAAGAGGGGTGGCTTGCTGCCCTACAAGTTAATGAAGATCTTTGAGTATGATCACACTAGGATAGCCAAGGAGCCTTCATTCTACACAGCAACATACAGACAGGATAAAGAAGAGCAGTGAGTATGGTAACAATCAATCCAGGGTTGACTCTTTTGTATCAAAATTAAACTTCAAACATCTGAAGATTAAATATTTAAAATTCTGCTTTTATCCCAAAGAAAGCACACCACATAAGCATTACAAATGTATTTTAATGATCTGTAAACAATGTTCTCTCTTCATTCAGAGAATCAAATGAAATCCATAAACAGACTCTGTGAGCAAGAAGCAGAATTTTGAATGTAAAATCACGTGATAAGCACACCAATGACATACAAGGCTTAAAAAATCCATACTTTTATACATTACATTCAATTGCACATTACAAACTATTTCAACATCAAATCAATTTCCATGACCTACATATATTCATGCAAAGTGGTTTTGCTCAAAATTATCAGATTTGGCAAAACTTCTTTTGCTGAATGCAGAAACTTTACTCGTTCTGAGATTAACAGGGAATGGAAAACCTAACCAAACATTAGAATTTGTTGTGGAGAAAATAAATATCTGCAGTCCCACTCCTCTTGCCAAGTATTCCACATGCTTTCCCAGCCCGACAATACCAATCACAGAACTTATGTTATATTTGATTTTTGATGGTGTTTCGGAAAATATAATCTGAAAGTACTCTGAAACATAATGCATTCTTATAACGAATCAGAGAGACTGCAGGAAGCTGTTGTTCATGTGAACATTTTAAATTCAAAATTAAAGGAATAAAAATACGTGATGCAGAATAACACACAACAGTGATTTTTGAGTAAATGTGACATACAACTTCCTAAACACTTTTGTTGCATAATTTGCATAAAGTAATTCCATCCATAACTAAACAAGAAATTATTTATATGACATTTTTCAGAAATATGATCTCCACGCTTAGCAAAGAACTTCTATTTTGTTTTCCTGCTTCAAATCTTTGGTGACTGTTATGAACTGGAAAGGCAAGATGTATTTAACAGGACACCTTTGTAGCTGGCAATTGCATTGTGTCAATTTGTGGGGAAATCGAAGGCCAATAACTAACCTGTGATTCAAACCCCCTCACCTATTTGGAGCGGTCACGCTAATTTCTGAAAATTTTTATGGCACAAAGGCAACTACATGTATCATCTGCATTAACAATTTGGTAACTCTGAATTTTACTCAAAGAGTGTATTGGTGGTTTATAATCAATTCTCAGAATAAATATCAATTTTTTTTCTCTCTACACGACTGAACAATTGGGCTTCGTAACTGATGTGTCATGCTTTCCTTGAGGTACCAAATGAATACTTAAGTAGTACTCGTATTATCTTCTTAGGTTATTGGTAAGAAAATTATCAAATATGGTTCAAGGTCCAAGAAGTTAAAATACATAAAAACCATAAAAATAATAACATTAAGTATAAAATTAAGACAACAATAAACAATCTTCTGTGTACATCTAACACTCTGTTGCATAATGTGCAGATTTATCATCAAAGATCGTGAAACATTCTTCACAGCTGCCCAAAGGAGTCAGGTGGTGTGGCAAATCATGATGAGGGCCAAATACGATGACAGTGAGAAGGTAAGATGCAAAAGTATGTCACAAGCAGCTAAAAACTGACATCTCTACAAATAAGGAATCAGTAAGTGACTGTCAACCCTTCAATGAAAAATCCAAGTTGTATGAAACTTTCCCAAATCTCAGAGTTAGCTAGATACTTTAGCTTGACACAAACAAAATCGTACGGACATAAGTCAACAGGTGATGAGGATTGATAGTTCGATGTGAGGCTTCACCTGGGGGAAGACTGAGACATTCTGATAATGGAGGCAGTAAGCACTTCTGAAATATTAGTCAATTTCTACCAAGTTACATGATGCAAAATCCCAGAAGTCAGCCATCTTTATGTTAAATTTACAAGGTATAACTTCAAAGCTCTAGATCATCAGAGAGAAATCCATTTATGTATTATGCATAATGAGGACCAATGGGGGTTGATCCCCACTAACCTCAAAGTAAAGCCATGATAGAAGTGCACCTCCATGATTAGGCTATCAGACCACTGAAATGCTATGGAAATATCTAAGTGAGAAGTACACAGACAGGTGTGACCAATTTCAATGTCCCCATTTCCATTTATATGTACTGAGTAACTGCTTGCAGGTTGGCATCAGACGACTACTCAACAGTGGTACGTACCTTGCTGCTTTCCCCCTTCATGAAGGAAGCTACAGCAGGGATAGACGAAATGGCACCAACTTGGACAGACGGGTAATCACACTAGTCAGTCTCACCGCAGAAAATCAAAGCCACAAATACAACTCTGTAAACCTGTATTTGTTACTTAAAGTTATGTAGTTTTAGTATAACTATTAGTGTCTTTAGTGAAACTGGTTTAGCTTATTAGTAACATGTATGACTAGCAATCTTTAAAATATTTACCTACTCACTGCCCACTGCGGTATGTGGTAGCTTCAGCATGTTCTGGGACAGTGACATTATGACAGATAAGGTGAAGCCTCCTTGTGGCATCAATATGCATGCCTCATACATCATGGGTTCTACAGCCTATTACAGGCCTTGACCGCCCCAACAATGTGCTTCCACTGGTCCCTATTTACGACTTCCCTTTTCCATCCCTGAACTCCGAGAGCTTGAAGATCTTGTTCTACACTATCAAGCCACCTAATGGGGGGTCTCCCTCTCTTTCTTGTTCCTTCTATATTGGTAAATATTACTTTTGTTTGCAGTTACTCTACACTGAATGGGCTCGTCCCAGCAAATGGTACAAGAAGCAGCCACTGTGGCTTGTCAAAAAGTACTTTGGTGAGAAGATAGGTCTCTATTTTGGCTGGCTTGGCTTCTATACAAAAATGCTCATCCCAGCATCTGTTGTTGGCCTATTATGCTTCTTCTATGGTCTCCTGTCCATGAACTCCAGTGACAATATTCCAAGGTACAAAACGCAAGTAATTCTCAGTAGAACATAAAATTGTAAAGTGTCAAACAAGGCACAAAACGTGAAGGCTGTTCAGATGTACAGAAGCTCTTAAAACAGAATTAATGACAAGGCTCACTGAAGACTAACACACAAATCTACAATTGTACATGCATTTTAAATGTTCTTTTTGCTTTAGCATAAAGAAAATGTGTCTGTCCATGTTTATCACATCTTCAGCCACAATGTTACAACAGTGACCTTGGATCGCATTGTTGCAAGAATCTTGAATGCCATTTTACAACCCTAGATCATAGAGTTGCAACAATCGCCTTGGTTAACACTGCCGTAATAAGTAATTTTTATGAGACAGAAATATCTGCAACAAGATGTGGTATAATAAACTTCTGCCACAAAAAAGGCATAGATTATTCCCAGAATATTTTCAAGGATTATGTCATACTTCAGATACCTACGTCATCTAACTGTGTCTGAAGTAATGAACCTGTTTCTCACATTATGCCATTGAAAACCACATCCTTCACTACAAAATTTCAATAACAGATTCATAAACTCTTTCCAACACAATGACAATAAATGTATCAGTGTACTACACAATCTTTTTCAGTATGGAGATATGTGATCCTAGCGTTGGTGGAAATATCACAATGTGTCCCCTGTGCGACAAAGTGTGTGACTACCAAAAGCTCAACTCTTCTTGTGTCTTCGCCCAGATTACGTACCTGTTTGACAACCCTGCAACTGTCTTCTTTGCCATATTCATGTCCTTTTGGGGTAAGCAATAATAATGTTTTTGTTATAAATTTTACTTATGTTGCCTCCTTTTTTACGACAAAATGCAAACTATAAAAACGTCTAGTACCTGAATAAATAAGATCTTCAGCAACACATGCAATACAGCTTTTCTGTTCAAATTATGAAAAGGTCATAATTTTTGGTATGCCACATGTACGTCCTCTTTCAGGCTACTTTAAATTGAGCCATACTGCATACCTACTCCACCTATGCATTTCATATGCAGGAATGGTTTAACCTAGCAAGGGCTGACATCTTGTGCTTATGCAAGACTCTGCCATTAGTTAGCTTTTTGATCAGTTGATTTAAGATAAATAAGAGGGCAGGTTAAAATAATGCCTGGTGGTGTTCTACACCTAACCCTTCACACTCCGATCCTTCCTTGTCAGTAACGTCACCCTCAATGATCCAAATATCATACCTACTATATGCTAACAGTGCTACGACCATACACAATGGAGTCGCGGCAGTACGGAATAGGAAAGAGGCACTCACTGAAGACTCAACCACTTCACTCCCACACTAAAATTCTTCCACAAATAGCACATTAAACAAGAAGAAAATTATTCCACAGTTTGACTTCATGGTTATGCTCCTCCCTTGGACCCTCATACATTTCTCAATATGCTGACCCTGATACGCTATTATCATGCCTGGCTACAGTCGCCTTGGCTTTCACTCAACTTACTCACTTACTTCAATCATACCAGTAACTCGTAAGAGCTGCTACAGAACTCAGATTTCTATAGTATCAATCCAGACTCTAATGCCACCCTGGAACCCCTTGCTGAACCAATGAATTCTGCCATAACATCTGAATTCATGTGTTTCAAAGAACGTCTGTGGAAATTTTAACCAGTTTCAATCCTTCATGACACTCATCAGCAACTATTTCCCTGGGTCTGCACAAAGACAGCAACCAGGGCACCACCTGTGGTGATTAGCCCGCTAATGCTAGAATTTACTAAGTTAATTCCATACTTTAGTCCTGTAATCTTTGTCAATCTACAACATTTATTACATCACAAACCTAATTTTTCAAATTATTAATTGGAGGGGGGAGTTGCTATATTAGCTACAGGTATAAATTCTATATATCTTTATGTCACATTCCAATCTTTCGTACACTGTGCCATTTCTGAGAAATATAATTACGTAGAAGGAGTTACGGGTCAAAATAAATTTTACCAGCTTTCAATATAAACATTCCCAACCAAATTTTAAAAAATTTGCCTAGATCCGTATAGTCATCTGGGAGGATGGGTATATAAACATGTTGGTAATGTATGTTTATTTTATGTTGTGAGAGTAAATAAAGTATAATTACATGAGATAGTTCAACAGTACAATTATTATCCATGACTACGTTTCAGCAACAATGTTTCTGGAGCTGTGGAAAAGACAGCAAGCAGTTATCGTGTGGGAGTGGGACTTACAAAATGTTGAAGATGATGAGGAACCTCGACCTGAGTTTGAAACATCAGTAAAAACTTTTCGCACCAATCCTGTTACGATGGAGAAAGAACCATATCTTCCTACATGGAGCAAAGCATGGAGGTTTCTGGCAACCAGTTCAGCTGTCTTGTTCATGGTAAGTCTACATACTTGCAATAAACTCAAAACATTAAAATTTAAAATATGGACTGTGACACTTTTCAGGGGACCCGTGTTCCAGTTGTTGCCCATTCTACCAATGGCCAATCTCCAACATTTCTTCCCTTTATTGCCAGCCCATCCATTCTTTTATCCATGACACATCCACTCACTGTTTACTGACTGTCCTCCATTCTCCTGGCCTGTCGCTGTTCTTCTCTTCCATCCTCCAATGGCCCTCAAAAGGGTCAGTCCTCTCACTCCACCCCCCACCCCCCCCCACAAATGGTGGGCAGGGACTGGTGACACCCAATGTCCTTGATATCATCATGGCCAAGAATTTTGTCCCACTGATGCATCCGGCTGTATGCACAGCACTCAGCTCAAAATCACTTACCTGTACCAATCAACATCACTAGTCAAACATCCTTCTAAAGCCCAATGAGCTGCCTTGACTTCGCACAGATGGATTGGGCCGTTTTCCATGTATGCCTTGAAGAGGCAGTAAGCACTTCTAAAGCACTGGTCAATTTCTCTGAGACAAGATGTACAACATCCCAGAAGAGTACAATCTCCAGACGGAACTAGCTCACTGTGTTCAAATGTAGACTTTGGGGTTAGTGGTGAATCTATGGGTTCTACTACAGTAAAATTATCTAGTTAATATATAATACATTGCTGAATTGTTCCAGAATGTAGCGCATCATACTCACTTTTTCCAAAAGAACAGGGTGATGTTCACAACACCTCACATCTGTAAAACAAATAAGAACCACATGCACATACTTCTTACGTAACATAGGTGTTCGTTGTTCTGGGAGCTGTTCTGGGGACAATAATATATCGCATATCTGTGGTGACCGTCATCTATGGCAGTGGAGAGCAATTCCTGAAAACGCATGCTAAGATCTTCACATCCATCACAGCTGCTGTCATCAACTTGGTGCTCATCATGATTCTCACAAAGGTGAGTTAGCAATATTTCTGTTTATATTAAAAAATTCTGGTATTACATAATCTACGCCTAATTATATTAAATGTAACACACTTCGTAATCTCACTAAGAAATCACATACACAAAAGTAAATAAAATAATGCAATCTTGCTATACGCTTCATGCAAAAGAACGCATAAAAACTGAGGACAAAAAATATTTTAAGAGCAGTTGTTGGAATCTTATTTTAAATGCTAGTTTCAATCTGTTACGCAGCATGTCACTGTACTGAACATTAAAAGCTGTCACAGTTTCTTAAAAGTGAACCAACACAGGACTTGCTGAATTTCAGAAAACTGTTTATATAAATTTCATGCTGAATGGTAACATTTTAACATTCCGGTGACAAAAGAATATTTAGGCTTTCATTGCACTGTTTGTCACTCAATCTCAGGCTCACAGCGATGGACCTAAGTCTGATCTCTGGCCACTAAACAATTCAGAAAGGTATCTTTAACATGGTACCATTAAAATAGTTTCTGACTTCCACCAGACACATATATGTCAGTTATTTCAGCACCCATCTGGTGCAAACTCTGCATTATTCAAGCTCATCATGAATAATACCATAGGCATAACCAGTTTCATGAATGCTGATTCTTCGGTTGTCCAGGATATGCTAAGCAATCTGCTTCTTAATATGAACATGTTTTAAAGTCAGCAGTTACCAAGAATATACGATACAACACTCATAGGAATCTTTCCATCCACTTGTAAGCTTTACCTTAAATCATATTTGCTATCATACTGAACTGTTCTTCTACAAATTTCACTACTTTTCACACCCTCGCATTATAAAAATCAGATAAAATGATTCTAAGGTCCTCCATTACCAATGCAACTACAATGTAATGTCACTACTCAAAAGACAAAGAAAAACTATTAGATTCAAATGAGAAAAGGTTAATACTACTACATATCATACCTTTTTCAATGCTACCAACATCACTTTTGAGACAAACTAAAATTACCTTTGGTGTTTTTCTCTTCCATTTTATAGCATATTTTCAATTATAATAAAACTGAGTTAAATTCAAGCAGCCATACTTCTTAATGTTACTGACCTTGCAATGTGTTTACTCCCACAAAGAATAAATAAATAAAAAGACTGTTCTTCTCTGCTCTTTTTTAGTTATACCAGCGACTGGCCCTGTGGCTCACTAACTTGGAAAACCCACGGACACAAACAGAATATGAGGATAGCTATACATTCAAGATATTTGTTTTCCAATTTGTAAATTTCTACTCTTCACTCATTTACATTGCATTCTTTAAGGTATGAACTCGCTACAGTTTTGTATCCTTCCTTGCTATTGGGTACAGCTAGTATTATAATAAAAATGTTAGAGTTTAAACAGCCAAAACAGGGAAGATGGAACAAAACAAGTCAATTAACCAACACCAGCGGGCTTGTACAGGTGCTAAATATTTCTTATAACACTTTGAATGTATAAATTTCTTTAAAGGTTGGTTAATTTCAACTTCCCACTGTAAGATGAACTCTTACCTACTTATCTTCTTATTCACAAAAATGGATAAAAGTGCAGTCCAATTTACACATTTTCCACTATCTATCAGTTAAAACACATAAACTTAAGTTTTAAACATTGTTTTCTCTACTTATTCACATGCTGATAAAAAATTAATTGTTGAAAGGACAGCACAATCTCAAATAGAAGGCCCTGACTCTATTTTGAGCACGTTCAATACACACAGTAGAAACCAAGACGTCTATTGATTTTAAGTATTTAAAAAAGTATTCATAAAAGACAATGTTTTATCTCAGCTGGACAAATAAAAATTCAATTAAAACCTTACAAATAATGTGCTGTTTATCATCGCAACAGGTAAGTCAATTAGAGCCCACGACTGACATGTTCAATGCTGTAAGAACCTCAAATCTCAGAACGAACAAGAATATTGTCAGAAACATGGATTCATGGAAACTGTAATTACAGGAGTGGTGATGATAATTAGGACATACATAGACATGCTGGAGATGATTCAGACAAAGAATAATTTGTTACTAGTTTATATACAGCCATTTCAAGAGTTTATATTCAGTGGTTCTAATTATACTCTTCATCAGCACATTCCTGAATTTGATTCACTGTTCGTTCTTCTACTGGCAGCAACTGTGAGAAATTCTTTATGATAATTTACAAAATCTAATTTTTTTTCAGTTTTATAGAATTTTTGTGATTTATTCTGTACTAAGTAAGCAGGATTACTTATACAACACCTCAATTTAAGAAATTCATTACATTCTTTGGTACCAACACTTCAACCAATAGGTCCATGTTTTCAGATGACACAACAACAATGGCTGACGTTATATGTCAATCGAACTTAGTCACATACATCTATTTTGAACGCAATCCAAGCTGGAGGATAAACTGCCTGGTGCTGTGCTGAGGTTACAAGAAAGTCCCACAGGTCAATCAGCTATACACCCCCCTAACAGCGTTATAATATCCTATATGCACTCCAGCTGTTTGGCCACTCTGTTCACAGAAATGCTGGTAGTGATAACCTTCATTAGCAATAAGTGCTTCTGGCCAATTGATATACAGACCGTACAGCACGTGAGGAGAATATAATCGTAGACAGAGGGGGAAAACGTTGAGCACTGTCATCTCCACCATCCATGAGACATTAACCATGGCCTCAGTTAAAAAAATTGTTCCACAATCTGTGACTGACAAGTATGTGAAAGGAAATATAGTACAATCAGTAAGTCTATTATTTATTTTTCACCTTAGGGCAGATTTTTTGTTCATCCTGGAGATGCAAGTGCTAGAAATTCAGCATTCACAAGGCTCAAGATAGATGTTTGTGATCCTGCTGGGTGTCTATCAGAACTGTGCATACAGCTGTCCATCATAATGGTTGGAAAGCAGCTGCTTAATAACTTCCTGGAGATTCTCTATCCGTAAGTGCCACTAAAAAATTAGAAACTGATGTCACCTCTCAGCTTCTAATTTTAAACTGCCAAACAGTAATCACTAGGAACAATGCCTGCACATGGCAAGTCAATGCACTTTCTAATGTAATTTTACTGCATGTTCATTTCATATGGCTAACTAATTAACTCAATGCAGCATAGTCCTTCTTGACAAGCTAAACATAGTCGTTTAAGAACACCAAAAGCAATAAAAGGATATAAAATGAAAGGACAGTAAAATATGTTAAAAACTGAAGATTTCTGTCTTCTGGGTTGTTGCGATGTGTAATACTATACAGCGCAACAACCCAGAAGACAGAAATCTTCACTCACCACTGTGAAAACCTCAAATCTTACATGTTGAAAACTGTTTAAAATCTTTGTGTAGCTAGTTGGGTGGTGTGACTGTGATGCATTGCTGGTATTGTGTCATGGTTCATTGAACCAATCACCTAGTGACCACCCACAGCAATATTTATATGAAGATTTTAAAGAGTTATCAACATGTAGGATTTGAGGTTTTCCCAGCAATGAGTCTAAAGATGGCTGTTGCGTCATGATCCCCTACACATTAAGGAGTTTGTACCACTCTGTAAGGCTGTTTTATTTATGGAAAGCAGCACAGAGAGTAAGAAAAATAATTTTTCTAAGGGAATGGATCAAACTTGCAGGAAAATGTACAACTGGTGGAGCAAACGTGTTCATCGTTCCAACACCAAGAACCTTGAGCGAAAGTACACACGTTGGGAGGAAGACTTTCAACTCCAAGACCCAGGAAGACTTGCACTCTTTGAAGAGTATCTTGAAATGGGTATATATCACTAGACCACACACTATAAATCTACTCCAAAAAAGAGAGAGAGAGAGAGAGAATAGAGGCGCCTTCTCAAACTTTCACAGACATGTTATCCTTTTTATTCTTATTTGTTTACAGTTCTTCAATATGGCTTTGTTACCCTCTTTGTTGCTGCTTTTCCACTAGCACCATTATTCGCACTTCTAAACAACATTGGAGAGATACGATTAGACGCATATAAAATGGTGACACAAGCTCGGAGGCCTCTCGCTGAGAGGGTTCAGGACATTGGTGCGTGGTACGGAATACTACAAGGTGTTACCTATGCTTCAGTAGTATCAAATGTAAGTTATAATATTATACATTACCTCAACAATCCTAAGATATGGCAACCAGCTATTTGTATGAATATAAAAATGCATAAATAATCTACATTAGCTGTAATTAGATTTTGTTCCAATACTGGAATTTCTTATTTTCTGCATATCTAGAAAACTAATAGCTACATGTTTCCTTGCATGCATGTCTAGTGAGTGTCGCATACAGGTTCTACTGCTTTCTCCTAAGATAGAAGTAACAATTCTATAAATAAAAATTTATTCTTCAAATACATACATTTGTTTTTGGACCACAATGTTTAATAATGCATGTTTAACACATCTACCAATATTTCACCATGATTTTGAGACATTATGACATCATGAAGCATAACATTGAACAAAAGCGAAACAAAAGCATAATTAATTAAAATAATGACACGTAATGGACAACGTAACTATTCACGAAACCACTTCCAGAGCAACACAACGGATTATCATACTTGAAAACAGTACATAAAAAATATATTGTTGCTGGCTATAAACAGTAAATAAAACACAGAGCACCAAAAGGCAAAAATAACTGCATTCAAACTATAACTTCCATGAAAGCGTGATTCGCAACTATAATTTTTGTTGTAGGCATTTGTTATTGCATACACCAGCGATTTCATCCCTCGAATGGTATACAAATATGTGTACTCTCCCACAGAGAACCTAGTAGGGTACATTGACTCATCACTGTCAGGTATGTATCAAACACAATTTTTCGTTTAACAGTAGCAGAATGAACTCAGAAAATACACATAAAACTACCATTTTGCTGCATTTTATAAGGATAATAAAACAGTAAGTAGACAAAGACATTGTCATCAAAGGCCACACACATCTACACTGTTAAACAGTGTATCACATAAAGAACACCTTCAGAATTTTAGTGTACTCCAAAGAGTACGTACATCTTCTCAGTCTTGTATAAGGTTGCTTTACTTTATGTTCAGGCTTTTAATCATGTATGCACATGGAGGACTGAATGTTTTAGTTTTGACTGTCATACGAATAGATGGGGAGTGTGCACCCTAACTGATGCTTTTATCCAGGTATGCTACTACATGTGTGTTTATAACTGACTACTGTCCCACAGAATTCAATACATCTGACTACAGACAAGACATGGTAGCAGATACGGATGCAGAGGATCCCTCAACATGCCAGTACAGAGGTTATCGCAACCCTCCAAACCATGAAAAGAAATACGACTTGTCTCCACAGTACTGGCATGTGTTTGCTGCACGTCTCGCTTTTGTTGTAGTGTTTGAGGTAATTTCAAATGCAAGAGGTGCTTCTCAGTTCATGGTACTCTAATCATCTCTTTTAACCCCTTTAATTTCAGCTTCAAAAAACTACAGTTTTAGTGCATTTTCAAGCTAGCATTTTCTAAACTGTTATGTAATCTTCAGGCATGAAACATTTACAATTCCTTCCAATGCTGTACTTTTCTGTCATATCATCAGGACACAGACGAATGTTGCAATCCAAAATGGCAGATGTGTCACATACGGAAGATCTATTTAATTGGCATCAGCACTGAATTTCATTAAGAATCCCACTAATCTTGGTACTACACAGGCTAATAATTACAATTACAAAGCATGCTACTGGTGCTTCATAACCTGAGTAGTTGGCATAACATAAGCAGAGCAAGCCACAGCGCATACAAGAGTCGGAACCTGAGCCTGAAGACACGCACTGGATAGCCAGGGCTTGGTCACTCAGATTCTTCTGTTCGCAATCTTCAGAACAGCTGCAGAACTCACACAATATTCTGTAACATGTTGCATGATACGCCCTAAGCATATACTTCTTCAGTTGCTCTGTAATTGTCTTTACCCAGAGAAATGTAAACATACTGCTGACCTCAGACATTTGAGGTGTTTACAAGCAAATCCTCAAAAACGTTTTTGCATCAAGTATATTAAAAGAAAGTGGAAAAGATTATGTCACAGAGTCCACATTTTGTCTTAATCTAGTATTGATGAGGTAATTTCATCATGGAGTATGAGATAGGTGATTTACTATCCATCCACTTCTAAAGGATTTCTCCCTCAACTTTAGCTATGTGATCTGCCCTACCCAGCTAAGCCCTTAGAATAAACTTAACTAAGTTGTGACAACACAAACGCCATCCTTCATTATTGATAAATGTGTATTAATGCAAACACAAAGCGACCTCGTTCTATTTTTGCAGCACATCGTTTTTGCGCTCA